GAGAAGGGATAACGGAAAGAGTTTATGTGGGTTTGACTCTGGTGTATTAGCTTGTCAGACACCACAACCACTACTGCTGTAATGTTCAGTTGTTGCCACTGTTGTACACAGTGACAGTTGTAATCTCTGCCTCTCCCTTTGTGACTCACTTCATTTCTCACTAAAATGATTACCAAAGCTGTCTTTTCATTTTTCTACTTCACTCCCTCTCTCTTTCTCTGTGTGCGCTTGGTAATCAGTCAGCTTAGCTCTTCATCTCAGTAAACACCATTAGCCCGGAAGGCCAAGACAGCCAATCACGGCGCAGCAGAGCCGGCTGGGTAGCCAATAGCAGCGAGGAACACTGAGTCCCTCGTGACACGCTGACCTGCTGCATGTCGGTGAGCGTTGCTATGGAAACCCTACTGTACAGAGAGGCTCTGAGGAAAGGCAGTGAAGCGAGGGAGGAGAGAGAGGTGGGAGGAGAGAGGAGAGGAGAGGAGAGGAGAGGAGAATGTTGGCAAACAGAGAAGAACGAAAAAGCCAAACAGCAATGATAAGATAGAGGAGGAGTGTTTCCTAGAAATGTGGCATCAGGTGTAGTTGGAGGGGAGAGTGGGACTGGCAGTCAGTTTAGACCTGACTGTGGGAAATGTAGCTGGCTCCAAAGTGCACTGCGTGTTCCAAAAGTATGTAGGCAGCAGAGCATGTTTGAATGTTTGACTCCTTACTTTTATTGTTTTGGACATGATAGAAGATAGACTGTCAGCTTTAATCTGAGAGTGACCTGCGTTTGGCCATATCAGATGATTACTTAAAGAACTATGACTTTTCTGTGGTAAAGTTTATTTCTGCGTGCCAAATTTGCACATTCAACAATTTTGTCATTTTGATTTAACAATCAAATAGTCTTAATATTAGGGCAGTGTATTGGCAAGAATGTGGTGATACAATATGTATCAAAGTACAGGGGTTATGATTCAATACATAATATATCGCAATACTGTAAGCAAGGCGATATATCGCAATGTTTTTCAATCTAGTGTTGGGAAAACTGTGATAGTAACACACCACCATATGCATAAAATCTGCGTTTGTTATGCAACCAGAACAGTGGGCATCTACATTGGTATTTATCACAGTCCCTGCAACATCCAATATCTACTGCCCTCAGTTTACATTTATAGCACTGCTATCCGGCGGTTTGGGGTTCAAACACAAAAAACAATACAGTGTCACAAAAGAAATTATCGCAAAATTATATATTTCTATATTTTCTTACACCCCTACTTAATATATAGTCTGCATAATATGAGCCCACCTATATCCCTTATTTGGCAAGAAGACCTTGGTCTGGAGTTACTGTACTTTTAATGCCAGTAGACAATGAAGATCCATTAAATCAACAAAACTACATCTGACAAGTGAGTTTTATTTCTAGGTGGTACTAATTTTCTTTATTAAAGCCAAATTAAGCAAACAGTTTCTCAGGGATTTACTGTAATTCAAAGTAAAGGCAATATATTTCTGTTAAATTATGACAGAGTTCAGTGTAACTATAAAACTGTATTGATAACATGACTGTCACAGCCCTTTAAGGACAAATGTGCAGCATGGGATGGCAGCAAAATACTTCATTACAGTAACTCTTAAACGACTGAACAACCAACATATAATTCACATAATTACACTTTAGCAAATGACATTGCCAAATCAGTGTTACTACTAAAAAATGAACAACTTTAAACTTGATGGCCAAGAGCACAACTCTGAATGAATGCTAATGGTGCCCTCTGTCCGCTGAATGTGTAAATGTTAGGCAATAGTGTGCTAACTTTATGAGGTGATAGAACATCATAGTGTCTGTCAGATTGGGTCTCAGTTACTCTTTCTCCTTGTGGGCAGAAAATCAATTACTAGAGTAATTAATTGCTCTTTTGATTCAAAGTAGCAATAAAGGTACAACAGGTCCAATCTGAAGTGTACTCTTTCTAATTAATATAGCAACTAGAGTTGTTCTAATACCAATACCAGTGTCAGAAATTCCTCTAAAACTGCCTAAAATAAGGTATTGCGTATCGGTGAGGACACGTGTTTCCCCCGATACCACGTAATGTATTAGCCCCGAGAAGGGACCCTGCTACGTCCCAGCAGTTTCCTGTTCGCAGTTTTTTCCCCTAAGGATAGTGAAGTTATGGCCCGCCCACCCTGACCTGACTCTGACAAAGGGTTTAACCTGAACCAAGCCATACAACAATGATAGCAATCGTAGAGGCTTAGTAGTATAGGATTGTTCAAGAAAAGAAAAAATTTAATGCACATCTATTGCATTGGTACTCCGTATTGGCAAATATGCAAAGTTCAGGAATCTGAATCAGTATCAGGAAGGAGAAAATAGTATCAGAACATAGATCTCCATGCTATACAACGCTTTACCTCAACTTTTAGCTGTTTGAATTTGTTTGAACTGCACCATTAGCCCCTTGACAGCTATATGGTTTGTCTTTTACCTGATCTTTGTGAATGCCTGACTTTTAAATAACATAGAACGAAGATAACTGATAGGGACAGTGTGAAAAGAGACTGAATTAACGTAGCTAAAGATAACCCAGGGAGGGAAATGTGCCATGTGAAAATCACTAGAAAGAGACATGTTTGAGCAAGTCAGCCATAGCGAGGTAAGCTTCGTCCTGGCAATACATGAAACAGATCATCAATGCAGAAAATACATCCCCCCTTTGGACACTTATTTTTTAGCTTAATCAGTTACTCTCTAATAAAAAAAATGTTGTAAGGATATATATATATATATATATACTATTATATATATGCAGAGATGTCTCCTTATAGATTTATATGAAAGGACAAATGCATGCTGTTATAATAAGGACACTGTGTACTGTTAGAGCAAGATAAACACTCATAACTAGGCCAATCTCTGCTGCATTTACAGTATGTGGGTTCAAATACTTCAGAGCTACAGTGTCTCTCGAACACGTCCCTCTCTGGGAGGTTTTCTTATCACTTTTTTTTTTTCTGTCCATTTTTGTCTCCCTTTCTTTCTGTAATGATCTCACTCGTCCCCTGATTAGAGCCTATCTCTTATAGCAATCATGATAATCATCCAACCATCTTTCTATTATCTGTTCATAATTTAACTGATCCATTCACCCATCAATCTGTACATCTGTCCGTCCATCTATCCCTCCCTCTGTCCGTTCACCCCATCTGTCTAGTTATCTATCAAACCGACTTCTTCTCCTTTGTCCTGATTCAACCCCTCAAACCAGTCTGGTCTGAGGATTTTATCGGGCTGCTCGGGACTCTGTGTGTGTGTGTGTGTGTGTGTGTGTGTGTGTGTGGTCCTGCTAGTTGTAGAGTTATGTAACAAAGCTTTAACTGCATGTATGCTACTGTCAGCTCTGTTGCTCAACTCACGCCACCAGATTGTGTGTGTGTGTGTGTGCATTTTTGCACGCACAATGTGTATGCTCGGGTGTGTGTATCTATTTTAGGCCGGAATCCATATGGTGTGTGACTGAACTGAGCCCTGGTCTAAGAGACTCATTGATTTCAATTTCAGGGCAAATCTGATGCTAATTCAAAAGATATTCTATAAATTAAAGGTCTTTTGGAATATGTTTACATGTGCAAAGAGGCTTACATTTTATCTTGTAAATCATAAAGCATAAGTCACGGATATATTACATGCATCAAATTGATGAAGAAAGATTCAGGGATCACAGTCGTATTGCAGTTGCATCTTTCTGGTAAATTCCACCAGAAGATACTGTACTTATTCTAAGCTGTATCTTTTTACCATGCTAGCGGCAGGGCTCTAGTGATGTTGGTCAGGTGGATTGTCAGGCAATCTACCAACTTAAACTAAAATATCTCAACAGCTAGTGGTTAGATTGGTTCAAGCCTAATGACTTTTCCAACACAGCCACCATCAGGTTCACGTTTGTGGTTTTGAGTGAAATGTTAAGATGAATTGCCATAAAATTTAGAACAGATATTCATGTTCCCCAGAAGATGAACTGTTGTAACTTTTATATAGCGCCACCATCAGGTCAAAATTTGAATTTACTTAATATTTTATGACCAATACCTGCAAAAGGAATGCCATTCCCATCAGCTTAAGCTGTACTACGTGTGTAGGTCTAATTACAATTAAACATGCTAAGACGGTTAACATGGTAAACATTATACCAGCTTAGCATCAGCATGTAAGCATGCTGACTTTAGCAGGTAGCCACACTAATGGCTGTAGACTCGTATTTTCTAGATAAGGAATAACTAAAAACACAACTAATTACATCTCATTTGTAGTGAAAGAATATTTGAAAATTAGCCATCTACACTGCCGAAGAAGTGTGAATCTTTTGTTCTGTGGTGTATTTGGATTAATTACAAGAGTAATTAAACTGGCATGGTACATATAAGTGGGAGAATCAAGGGTGAAAACATATTTCAGCGTGGATTTTATTTTTACAACATTGTAATCTGTTTTCTAAAACACTTTGTTTCCTTGGGACTTGGTAGCTGTTGTCCTCTTTTGTCCCTATAACCTTTTTTTCATCCCTTAAGAATGCATGGCCTGAATTGAAGGCCTCCAAACACAGTGTGTGCTCATGTAGTTGAAGTGAGGCCTGAAGGTTGTGAGGAAAGAGAAGATGAGGAGGGGAAAAAAAGAGAAAGGAAGAGTCAGATGTAGAAGATTAGAGTAGAGTTTGAGAATCCTTGTCAAAGCCTGACCTGATGCAACCCCCTGCCCCCTGAGTGTGTGCATGTGGCAAGGCAGAAGATAGGTTGACCCGAGAAGACCTCTAGACGAACTCCTCCTATTGCACATCCATCACGTCTGTAACTGTCATTGACCTGTCAATCATTCTCCATTATTAAGTCATTTTCATACAGGACAGTTGTCACTCACTCTCAAATCCTCACACATCCTCACATACACAGTCTCAAACCAACCCACAATGCATCTGCCCGTGTGTTTCTCCTCCCCCTCTTACCTCCATCTGAGTACGTCTCTGTTCCGTAACCATCCTGCAGCCCGTTGTTCCACGTCCCTTCATACTTCCCGCTCGTCCCCGTGCTTTCCCGCAGGCCGTAGCGCCCCTTAAAGCCGTGCGTCCACTCGCCTTTGTACACCCAGCGGCCTTTATTCTCGACGCCCACGCCATGTCTCTTGCCCTGAGCCCAGGTGCCCTGGTAGGTGTTCCCACTGGGCCAAGTGTAGACGCCCAGCAGCTCGAAGCCATGGGCCCAGGACCCGCAGTACTCGCCCTGGCCCTTGGGTCCCGTGCAGATCCCGTGGCCGTGCGCCTTGCCCTCCTCCCACCCTCCGCAGTATGACCCCCCATCGTCAAAGTTGAACCTGCCGCCAGTGGACATGCATGAAACAGGTCTTGGCAATTCCCCTGAAGCCTCGACAAAAAGAAAAAGAAAAGAAAAAGAAAACGAAGGGAGGAAAAAGAAGGACAGGTTGGTGCTAGAACCAATCCATGGAGCTGAGTTTGGAGGTCGGTGAGGTCAGGGGTGAGGAGGAGGAGAGAGTGGGAGGGAGAGGGAGAGAACTCCCACACAAATCAAACAACGCCACCCCTCGTTTTCAGCTAGTTTGGAGAAGAGGAAGGAGAAACGAGGTGAACAAGAAGACTTGGCCCCTCACAGGGGTGTCAGGGGTCTCCCGGTGTGGTGGGGAAGGGTGACGCTGTTCACACCATCCTCTTGGTGAGCTCTTTGTAGCATCGGCTAGCACTTTCCAGCTCCTCTGTGGCAGATGCGGGTGAGAGAGGAGGAGAGTGGGCCCAGAGCTGCCATTATCCTCTCTCAGCAGGAGTTTAAAGCATCAGGCAGCTTCACCGGTCCTGCCATCGGCCTGCCTACACAGTCTACGACACACGCACAACTCTTCCTCCTACTCCTCTTCTGCTTTCCGCTCAGTCGCCTCCTACCTGATGATGCCTCCACCTCTCTGGGGTTAAGAGCTGAGAAGCCTCCCCGGTGGCAGCCCTTCAAACCTCCAAGCCTCCAGCATAGAAGCCACCCTTAGGCTCCCTGATCAGCACCGCGGCCCAAACTGGAGCTGTGACATGTTGTGTGATGGAGAAAAAAAATAAGAAAAAGACTCTCCTCCGCAGAAACAGTTTTTTCTTCGAGCCACCTCCTGATGATCAGACAGAAAAAAGACCATTTAAAGTCAGACTCAAAATCTTTAGCTCACTTCAGGCTTCAACATCCTCTTCTCAGCCTTCACACACACACACTGTGCCTGGTCGCACAGCGAGGCGACACACACATGCATAGAGAGTGTGAGAGACAGAAAAATGGGGAAACACATAAGGTTATCTGCTTGGCTGCCTTCTTTTTTTGTCTGTCCTGTCTTGCTGGAGAACAGCAATGCAGTCTGCTGCCTTATGCAGGCACACACTATATGCAGGCACACACACTCTTTCTGACAGCAAGTGCGCACACACACAGACAACAAAAATAAACAACTGAATTGATTAATTACTCCTCCTCTATTCCCTCTCTCCCTCTCTCTCTCTCTCTCAGTCTGTCTGTAGGTCTTTAATCCACTGCGTCCATAAGTGGTTTATCCTCTGCGTGGGTTGCCTTCAGTTGCCTGCTTGATGAAATAACATCCATCTATATGATCCTGTTATGGTGTGTTGTGTCCTCTTCAGCATCTCCTGCTTGTCTCCATGTTTCCCTACGGAGCACCGACTGACGCACAGCCTGCCTTCCTGCCTGCTGTCTTGGTCTTACAATCTCCTCTCCTCCTCTCCTATGGCTGGATCTCAGTGTCTCTCTCCCTCTCTCTCCTGATCTGTGTGTGTGTATGTCTCTCTCAGAAAATCTGCTCATTAGAGAGGACTGTTCCAATGCAGCCCCCCCCCTCCCCGCTCAATAGCACGCTCCAGCTCTTAAAGAGACACACACACTCCACAAGCTTCTCTCGTCCTCCCTCACCTGTAGCTTGTATCATGCACTCACCCTTTGTCTTTTCTTACAGCATCTTGTCTCAGTCTCAGTTGGTTGGCTTGATCTAAGAGTCTAAAGATGACTGCAGTGGTAGCATTACGCATTTCCAGTCAGCAGACAGGTGAACCTTAAAGGAACAGCTCAACATTTTGCCAAATACGTCTATTTGGTTTCTTGTGGAGAGTTAGATGAGAAGATTGATACCACTCTGTTAACCTGACTGTGCCTGATGATTTGTTACAAAGACCCATATGGGAAGTCGTCATTGGAAACTGCTGGTTAAGGGCAGACACTTTGAAAAAAATACTTGGCAGCTGATTGGATGAACCATCTGTCTATCACCGTCTATCACAGGTAAATTTCAACCAATCATATCAATAAACCATATAACAAAGTCAAACTCTTACCGCAGCCAAAGAGCGAAAACATCTTTTCCATCAAGTTGTCGTTTTTTGTTCTTCTTTCAATGAAGAAATACTCTCTGTTAGCAGCATATATGTTAACCAGGCATCAGTACTTCCTCAAAAGATGCTGATTGGTCCGGTACCACATAGTTTGGCCAAAAAACGCAAATATTTAAGCCTGGCAAGATGCATTCTCATGAATCCAACTGCCTTGGAAGGTTAACTAGCTGTTTCCCGCTGCGACTAAGTCTAAGTCTTTCTGCTAAGCTAAACTCATCGACACTCATTGTCAATTATTAGCTCATTTTATGATACTATTAATTTCTTCTGGTCACAGTCTATAATAGACAATGCAACAACAGTTCTTCTGCACTTGAGACCAAACTAATTCTGAAAAAAATCTGATACTGCCTTGTAATGCATCACATTTACTCCAATCACAGTAATCGTAGTAGTAGTGTAACGATTTTGAATTGATTAAAACCAAAGCACATCTGTTCTGTCAGCAGATGGATTACTAAAAAACAAAGGTGAAACATGTTGTTGTAGACAGAAGCTATGTAGCCATGCAGAGTTTTTTTATGGTGAAAGCACTGAAAAATTACAGACATATTTACAGAGCAGTCTCCTTGTTAAACTGCATAGTCTACAAAGCTCATTGTCTTTATGAGAACACTTTTTTTCAGTAGGGGTGAGTAGTTCCACTTAAAAACTACAAGAAACCAGGCCATTGTTTCTGTACAGAAAAGATTAAGGGCAAACAGTGTGTCATATTTGCTACTGACTGCATGTGCAAAATTCTGCAGCACTATTCCATCTGTTAATCCCAATTTTCCAGATGACAACTCCATATAGTCTGACAGATTAATCCCTGTGAAATAAAAAGCTTTCTATAATCAGATATTTTTACTTGTCATATTGCAAATACATTTATTCAATCCAAGATAAAATTAAATAATGTGAGATTATACAGGTGTCGGTTCCCTAATGGATATTTAATGCTAAAGATATTTTCAGAGAAGAAAGAGGGATGTTTGTTAATGACGGCCTATATGCAGTGCTTACTCTCTGAGGAAGAAACAGCACACAGACCTCCTATTGATTAGCTGATATGGACACTAACAGAAATATGATGCTTCAGGGAAACCCACACGTCAGTGTAAAATGGATTTTATTTACTTTACAATATTTAGTTTCAGCTGTGATTGGATTGCAATACCGCTGCAATGCAACACTGAAGCTTTTTTCTTTTCAATTGATAGTCCTTTTGAGGGTTGCACTGCGTTTTAGCTGCAGATGTCTGCACAAAGGGGCACACTATGTATGTATTAAGAAAAGTAGATACCATGTTTCCAGATGATGCCCCAGTAGTTCTAATGTAAGCTGCTAACTGGGTGGACATGTCGGGAAGGTTTTCACATTTTGAGCCAATAGAGCATGTGCAATAGAGTCCTTCCTGCTGGCTGCCTACTCACATGAATGATTTTGTTTGGTTTAATTCATTAAAAATCAAACGCAACTTCTTCCAATGAGAACAAAACCCCACAGCTTGGAGGATTAATGTCACATGTCACATGTCTGCATGGTCTGCATCTTCACAACTAAAACGATTGGTTAAACTTGCGGCAATGTGCGGTGATAAGACAAAATTGCAAGGTTGTGCAGAATTCCCGGGAACTGTTGCAATTGCGGCATTGCAACTTCCTGGAGGTACAGATTGAAGCAGCAGAGGGGGCTGTGTGTTGTTTAAGGTAGGGGTGAGACAATGAACAGATTAATGCTTTTCAAGGCTGATCAGATGCCAAATACAACGGTTTGTGACAGTCACAGACAGGATTTTACAACTCTCATGTTTCATCGTAAAGGTTGCAAGGTAAACAGTAGAAATACGTTCATGTAATATGTCCATGTTATAAGGTAATCCTCCAGGAATATGTGCTTGCATGTATTGTGTTGCAGCAAAAGTTGACTGGTTCAACTTTTTTGTATAGTTTGTGTTGGCGCCCCCGCTGTAAAGACGGACCGGCTCTATTCAGATGAGTGAGAGGGCTGTACTTTTCTCACAGGGCTAAAGTTGGTCTGCATGAGGAATTACAGCCCACTGGGAGCTGCGCAGGCGGTGGAGATAACGGTGTGACTTTTATTTCATCTTTTCTTTTTCAGTTTTAAGTGTTGGCAGAGACAATAGCAGTACTTTTTTATTTGGATTCAGCTATGACTAACCATGAGAAATATGTATTTATTTGTTTGATTTTTCTCTTTTGTTTACTTGCCGGCATTGTGTTAGTTGGGTTTTTGAGTAGCACTTTTCTGCGCTGAGTCATCCATAGTGGATTTATTGCAAGTGCCTTGCTCAAGGACATCTCAGCGGTGTTTGAGGGAGGAGGAGTGCATCACTTGACCGATCCTTATATCTCAGTGTGGGCAGAACAGAAACACCAGGTGATACAAATGTTACTAAAATTATTTCAAACATAAGTTTGTCATTTCTGCTGCTGGAGGTCTCTTACATCAAAACTATAAAAGATGTAGTTTGATGACGTTATGAATTAGTGTGGGATCATGGGAGTTGTTGTCGTCATTGTTAAACAATCACCATGGCTGAAGAAAATCTGTCTGACATGACTCAGGCAGAAATAATGTTCACGGTTGAGGTAATGTATTAAAGTTTTATTTACGTTCCCGACTTCCTTCCTTGCTCTCTGACGTCCTCTCATCCTTCCTTCTCAGAACACAAAGTCCCTTCCTCTCTTACACTATCCTCCTTTTCCTGTTCAGCTCCTCCCTACAGCTGTCCTGTTGCTGTTGTTGTTCTTGTCCTTCTGTCTGCCAGTGTCTGGGAGAGCTAAGGCAATTCCAACCCAGATTACAGTAATAAAATCACTGTGAGGCTAAGGGATTAAAGCTTAGGCCTCTAAACACACTGGTAGTAGAGAAAGAGAGAGAGACAGGGAAGGAAGTGGGGGAAGAAGACAGAGAGAAGGTGAGCAGGTGAATGAGAAGGAGGGTGGGGGGAGACATGGTTAGTGTGATTTCCTGACCACGACAAAGGGATTAGGATTTAGAGAAGTTAGTAACGCAAGTATCTGCGCTCACGAATCCATGACAACATCTGAATTTCAATTAGAGCTAAGAAGACACAATTCTGAATAATGGTTACTGTGTCATTATGTTGCAGATCAGTGAAATTATATGTATGAGACGATGTATAGGTCTCAATTCATAGTTTTAGTAGGTTGTCAAATAAAACATATAGCATTTGAGACAGCTATTTAGTCAGCAGCTGTAAGTCATTTCAGTGAAGTTATGTTTCCATTAAATCAGTGATTCAGAATATATTTGAGAGGATGTAACAAGATTACATAACTAATCTAGCTGCAGTAACTTTACTAGCATTTCAGTGCTGTGTCCCATCTAAAATAGTAGTTGTGTCTCTCATTTTTTGTCTCCTAATCCATGTGTATGGTGGCGTTCTTGATTGCGGTTGACCAGCAACATCCCTGCTCTGTTTAGTTTATATTTTGGGTAATGAAACATGGTGCCAATATTGCACCGGTTCTTGTACGACTGGTATCTACCAGACAGCTTCGGTACCAGAGCTCTCTATTAAAATATTTACCAAGGCAAAAGAGGCATCACCGCACTTGCCATCATTAGATAACTCTCTCTACATGGCTCTGACAGTAGGTGGCTTACTGCTAGCTAGTAGCTACCTTAAACACAGTTAAAATGCAGAGCTAAACAGTCTATAGTAATTAACTTATGATAGACATGATGTTTTACTAATATGTGTAAAAATCATGGCATGGTGAATTATGGCCTATATGACACCTCATACACCCAGAGCAGAAAAGTGTTCTAACGAGTGCCTCTCGATTTGATTAGAAAATTAAGTTAAAGAAAATGTACAGCAACTGCTCTATCTGAGATCAAATCTTCTTTTTCTCTTCTCTGTCAGGCAGCCTTACCCAGCAGCTCACTGTGTTTGCTCACCATCTGGTCTGTCTGTACAGCATGTCACATCTCCAAGCAATCAATAAGGGCACTCCTCTGGATAGTCAGTAATTACCTAAGTGTGCTTGGAATCGTGTACTTTAGGATCAAAAACACTGAAGAATAATGAAAGATCGGCTTGCAAGTCTTAATAACATATAGTATATTGTGGTTTCCATCCAATGGTCAAAAAGGGAACTTTATGTTGGGTCACCAGTTTTGTCCACTTGGACATCCACATCCATGATATCCTGGCAGCCAAAAGTGACTCAATTCTTCTAAATAGACTTTATTAATACCAAGTCTGATGGTATGTTCTTTCATATAATGTTTTATATATATATGAAGTTAAGAAAAAGCTAGAAATCTCAATCCCTGCCTAAATCTGACATACCATATGCTACAAGTTTCTCTCTCACACACACACACTCACGACAGACGTATCTCTGACGATTACACGCTGCGTGCCCCCACGTCAGCAGTGCACCCAAAAAAATCTCTTTAGTTATTTATAAAATCTTTTTTTGTCCCGGAGTTAAAATAAAAAAGGGGGTCGCAGGAAAAAGGGAGAAGAGGGGCTGAGAAGGAGGGAGAAGTGAACGAGAGGGAGGCAGGCTCATTCTCATCCATCTCTCCCTCTCCTCTATTATTCATCAGCCTTTTCTCATCCCTCGTTCAGCATGCTGATGGAGGATAAAATAGGTCACAGAGGGATAGGCTGGTGCTCGCACAGTGACTGATGTCTTCCCTCACACATCGTGCACTCATCCCCTCCTCCTTCCCTGCATCCCTCGCTCCTCCTCCTCTTCGTTTTCTTCCCAGCCGTCGTTGTCTTGTCATCCCATCTTTCTCACCTGCTCTCCCTCTCTACCTTCTCCTCTCTCCGACACCCCGACCCTCCATCCCCTCACATCCCTCTAATGTTTTGATGCTTCCTGAATACTCATCGTTCATCATCATCATCAGCTCACCTTCTTCACATTCTCTTGCTTGTTGTAGAGGAGTAAAACTCAGACAAAGGAAATGTGTTGCTGCGAGCTATCTGCAGGGGGCACACCAAACCATCATATCTATGAAGGAGTTGTGTTTCTATAGGGAGAACGAAGGGCCCAGTAATCAGAAGTGATAGGGACAGAGGCAACCAGTGAAAAGCAGGAAAGTTAAGAAATACCACGTTTTTATTTTAACCAGTACTTTTGTTTACTCTCTGCAGTCTGCTTTTTGTGGGCCTTTATTCACAACATATTTTTAGTGGAAAAGTTTCATAACTCCCACATCTATGTTAATTTGTTCAATTTTAAAGAACTACATTGTTGGTTTTGCTTGCACATTCAATCAATATTTGCAAATTGTTAAAACGGTCTAGGTCAGGGGTCAGCAACCTCTTCTATCAAAAGAGACAACAAATCTGTCTGGAGCCACAGAATTTATTTAAGCCTTATAATGCTAATTTACCACCGCAGATCAAGTAAACAATTAAGGTTTACTTTATTTAGAGCTTCCCATTCCCCGCTATATACTGCCCACCTGTGGCACTCCTACAGAAAAAGCAACATGCAGACTGTGAAGTGATGTTGCCATGAAACTGCTTCCTAAACTTCCATCATCCCCCATCATGCTGCAGTGCCAGCCAAATGTTTGTTAATGTCGCTGTGCCTACCTGCTCTGCCGTGATACAGAATCTTATGTACAAATATACTGTATGTGCAGGCTGTATGCATTTTTATG